TCATAAAATAATGTATAATAAAATTAATCAATATAAAATAGGACCAGAAAAAAATATAACAAAGTATTTAAAACTGATAAAACTAAATCGATTAAATAAAATAAAATTTTATAAAATATAATATAATAAAATAAAAACAATTAAACGAAATATTATATAATGAAATTAAAATTTTTTTAAAATATATATCAAAATAAAGTAAGAGCAAATATAATAAAAAAAATTTTAAAAAAATATAATTTTAATTACATAAAATGGAAAAAAATAAAATAATTAAAAGTCTTTTATATTAAATTAATTTAAGCAAATACTATATAATAAAATATTTTGAAATAGAACAAAGCAAAACAAAATAAAATAAATAAATCAAAAATATTAAATTGTACTAAATTACAAAGCGTAGAATAATAAAATAGAAAATAAAAAATAAAGAAAATCAAATAAATCTAAAAGCTACAATAAAATTATTTAAAACAAAGGAAAATGAGCTATTCAAATAAAGCCAAATACAGGAAAATAAAATAAATATAAAAAGATAATATAAGAAAAAATATATAAAATAAAAACAAAATGATATAAGAAAATAAAAAATTTAATTTAAAATTATTTTATTTATTAATTGATGTTATTTTGTTTCATTTTATTTTATTTTCCTGTATTTTAATAAATAAAAAGGAATTAATGAAATAAAATGAATTAATTTAAATAAAATTAAAATAAAATTGAAATTATTAACATAACAAACTAATATGAATTAATAGAAAATAAATTAAAAAAGGTGAAATAAAATAAAAAATAAGCAAAATTAAATAAATTAAACTAATACTGAGGAAAATGAATCGAAATATTTGAACCGGTTAAGCTAAATAGAATTAAATATTAACAAATTAATTAAATTAATTTACCAAAGACTTGATTAATTAGAATAAAATTAATTAAAATGAGTTACGTTTTGTTGTTTAGCTTGAAAATAATAATAATGATAAGTCTTTGTCATTAGAACATTGGAAATAAAAAATTAATTTCTCATTTTCCTCCTTTTTATCTTTTCATAGTAACATACATATGTATATGTATGTACCACAAATATATAGCTCTGAATGAAACATTTCTGCACTCGCCCACGAAATGAGAACAAAATGCACAAAATTAACAAGTTTTATACACAAGAGAGTGTAGAAATAACACCAGGCAACCTTCGATACAAACAGAGCAAAGAACACGTGTTCAAATAAGTAAGTATCGCTACTCAAACGGCATTAATAGACTTAAAATTTGTTTAAAGCACTTATCATTTTAGCCAAAATTGAATTCCACGAAAAAAAGCTCAGGTAAAACATCGAGAGAAATGTGGGATTTACGCGACTTTATTTTGGTGAATCTGCGTTTTAAGAGAAGAAACAAAAAGTAGCGATTTATTTAAATAAAATTTCAAGGAAAAAATACGTAGCTACCTACGCTCATGCCAACGTAAATATGTACTATACACATATATGTATAGGGTTTTCCAATAGGAGTGATATGATGTCTTTTAAAAAATAGCACTAATTGTTAGTTAATTCAAATGTTTTTTTTTTTTATTTTATGTGAAGTGCAATCGATACATTTAAGTTGTTAATATAACATCATTCATTAAATTTCTTCCACGACTTCTTTTGCACGAACGAATTCGATGTGCCAAGTTTTTGAGCACTTTTTCCACTAAATCAAGTCGCTTGTCATGAACAATACGTTCAAAATTGACTTTTAAAGCTAGAAGAGAGTCTGGTTGACTGCTAAAGACCAATGACTTAAAATAACTCCACAAGAAGTAGTCGAATGGTTTTTAATGACAACTTCTTGGATGCCATTCAATGTCACAATTTCGTGAAATAATCGAAGCTCCAAACCTTTCTCGCAATAATTCGGTTGTTGTATGTGCTGTGTGAAACTTAGCCCCTTCTTGTTGGAACCAGATGTTGGTAAAATCAACTTCTTCCGGTGCTACCAGCTTCATTTCGAAAGAAGTAATTCCATCAGACCAAAAACAACTCCAAAATGTCAATTTAGGTGAATTTAATTGTAATTGTGGATTTTCTTAGCACGAGAATCAACAGTTTTATTCATTTACCGCACCACTCAGATGAAAGTGAGAGTCATCGGGGAAGATGGTTTTTGTTAAAACAAAAAAAATGTTATCGTTTTCAAATTGTTGTTATTGTTTGTAAATGTTTTTCTTGCGTATATCTTGCCATGACGAAACATTGCTAAATACAATGAAAAGAATTACAGATATTTAAAATGGCCAAACGACACTTAAAAATCATATCATCCCTATTGGAAACCTCATTATATATACATATATACATATTTTCCAATAAGTATATATGGTTACGTGAAACCAGAGGAGTATTGTGGGAAAGAAAAAACACCTCTTGATTGAATTAAAATTTAATTATTTGATGTTTGTAAATTGACAATAAACCTGCGTTACGTAAAAAGCCAACAAGTGTACTTCATTAGTAGCTACATACATAGTTTGTACATACGAGTATATGTGTGTGGCCATGAGTATGCATATATACATATATTGACTTTAATACAATCGTATACATTTTACTCCTCACTTCAATGAATTCAATTACTTTAAGGATTTAGCTGCTCAAATAGAGCTAGATGAACATTACCATGAGTTACCTTTATTGAAGGCTTGCGAAAACAAATTTTAGGAGGGCGGCACATGTATCATTTGGTAATAAGAAAAAGTAAGACTGTTGGAAACAAAAAGATGTTCGCGTGATAAGAGCCTTGCAACCCAGCTACACCTGGACAAAAGTCTCTAGGTGATTAACTTTTCGCCCACTTACTCCATGAGAATAAATGATACTGTCAACACAGGCCGCAAAATTTCAGCTGCCAAATACTACAATTCCAACTAAAGCTTAGCTTAGCTTTATATGCCGTTTCTGAATGATCGCATCAGTCATTTATTCTTTTAGCTGTTTGACACTTATTAACCAAAAACCAAGTGAAGCCAGGTCGCTCTCCACCTCATCATTCCAACTGAGTTGAGATCTTTCTCTTCCTCTGCCTTCCGAGCCCACGTAACCGCTCAGTAATACACAAAGGTGTGGAAGAGTGTGGATATATGCTTATGGAAAGTTATGACTGTCTAGCTTCGCTTCCTTTTCAACAAGCAGTTGTATAGTTATGTAGAAGATTCCTATTTAGCTCGGTAGCTCGTATTATTTTCTCCAGCATTAGGCTTCAAAAGTCACACTACAAAGTGTCGCCTTGCTTGAAACTTCTTGATGCTCAACGACTCTCGAATGGCTCGGAGAGATACTGTCCAATTCCAACAGAGCTTGAGCTCAACACCAACTTACATAAGCTTTGCGTGGATAGTAAATATTGAATACCGCTTTAAAATTGACGAAGAAATGGTATGACTCGATCCTTTTCTAATGGATCTCTTCCAATAGTGTATGTATGATGAATATCTGATCCATGGTGGATCTACCAAACCTTGGGCCAAGTGGCAAAGTGCGACCACTTCGTTGATGGTGTGCTTCAATCTTTACCTTTCCACAATACATTAGGTAAGACCTCTTGTGGGATATTGAGACGGCTTATTCCACTATAATTTAAGCCGACAACGTTTATTTAGATGCCAATGACTGCCTAGGCTTTCTTCCGGCCCTCCTTACTTTCTTTTAATTCCAACAACAATACTGAAATGGGCTGTATTTAATTTAATCATCGAGTCTTATAGATCCTCCATTGCCTTATTCTGGGAAAGTTTTCAATTTCTTCTCAGTCAAAAAATTTTAATTTATAATTTAGTTTTTCTTTAAAAAGAAGAATGTATGTTGTTGATAAGTAGGTATATATGTATATGTATGTAAATACTTGACTACAACAAAAATAATGACTTAAAATCGAGCTAAAATAGCAACATTAATAACAAGATTATTTTCATCATTTACTTTATGCATGGAACGCTGAATTATATACATTCATATGTATGTATATATACCCTAGAAACTTACCAATCTATATACATATGTACATACGTTCGTACCGGAATAAAGTTACGTATTCAAAAGGGCAATAACATCGGTTGTTAGGATTATGCAAAATTAGAAAATGGAATAAGTAAGAGGCAATTTGAAGATAATGAGTTTAACTCCAAAATTTTAACAGATAACGGGGGCGAGCATCGCTAATCTCATACATTGATTATTTGCAGAGATTTCAATATGACAATTCACGGTAACTGCTAAGAACAAAGATATACCGCCTATACTTGCATATAAAAGTCAATACCCTAAGATCTTCAACTCATTTGTCACCACTTTTCATTATTTGAAAATCTAATTATGCTGGCGCTAAAAAACCGCTATTCTGCTGCTACTGACTATACGTGTTAATGTCTAATGATTGACTGTTTTACGCTTTGATATTTATAAACTTATAATAACCACCAAAGCGTGTCGGAAAATTTGCGCGCTCTTAAAATAATATCTTATGCTTTAATTTTTTAGTATGTCTCTGAAGTATGCAGTTTCCAAAAGTCGTAATATGAAACCTTACGGTACGTAGACGTATAAAAGAGTAGCTCCCATTATAAATTTCACCATAAGTTAAAACTACTACCGATATGGCAGCATTCAGACGGTGGTGAATAAAAATCACGGAAGAAGCAAACGCCGAGAGAGACGTTGAATAAAATATTGAAAACAATAAAATTACAATTATTCTATATGTTAAACAATAACAACACGATTAGTTAAAATCAAAAAGGGAAACGTTTTCCAAAGAAAGTCGAGTCTATGTGGATCTCTTTACCAAGTGAGCTGCATTCAGAAAAGTGCAAATAGAAAGGCCAAATAAGTAATTGTGTACAAGTGTAGTGGCGCTACAAACGAAATAAAAGTGCTGTAATTTAATTCTCCTATATCTACACATCTATGTGTGTACATTAACCTATAATATATATTTAAAATAGCAATTTGCAATTCATATATTTAAATGAGTTATCTCGTGTCTCGTGCATTTCTATCTAATATATAAATATGTTTAGCTGCGATCATGAATGCCTAAGTAGAAAAGTGTGTTTGTACAATTATTTGCACGTACGCATAAATTTGAATTCACCCTGAAAATAAGTGACAGAGTGGCGAGCGTCGTCTGCATTTGTTTAAAGCACATACATACTCATTAATTTAATTGTACAGAAAGCTTTGTGGAGCTAGTGAAAGTTTTCAAACAAAATTCCAGAGCGTGTTTGATGAAAGAAGGTCATTATTTGTGTTCCGGATTATAGAGACGTGAAAGTTTGTTGTTTGTGTGATAAAAAAATGCTGCCCTTTTCCTATTAATATGGGTTATGTGCAAATGTACAAGCTACTGCCTTTTCATTTTCAAAGCCATTAAATGAAAATTTACACTGCGTTTGTAGAGATTAAACGGCGAAAGCTCTGATAAATATAAAATTTGTATTACTGAACTCTTATCATGAGTCGTTTTTAATTTAAATTGGTTTGAATGAATCGATTCTTTATTTCTATTACACATAATTTCTCATTCCAGCTCTCCTGGATAGTGGTACAATTTAGTAAATTTTACAAAACATGTTTGGCAAAATGAACGAAAATCCTCCGCTACCTTTTTTTCTACTCATCTGGCAGCCTTTCGATAGAAATACTCATATGTTATCGAAACAACGTCTGTATAATAATCAGCTGTTGGCTTTTCTCAAATTCAATGCTATGTACATAAATATATATGTACATGGCTACATATCATTGTCATATTTGTGCAAATGTGCCGTGGATAAAATTTACCTGCGGTTTGGGCTGATTTTACATACATTATTCAATATCAAGAAGGCCAATGACTAGAAATTCATTCGTTAAGTGAAAATTCAGCCGAAAAGTTCTAATTGGGTTATACTTATTTTGATAAAATTAACATAATTTTTCAATTCGGTTATATACTAATATGCTTTCACCGCGATAGCTTCACATACACGCTTGCAATTTATCCAATTACGCTCAGACACTGTGCTACAGCTTTTTGATCATTTTCACTTGATGAGCTCATGTTCAATAGTGGCAGAAAACAAGAAAAATTAAAGGGAAAAAATGGCCAAGAAAACCTAAGATGTGGGAATGAAAAAAATTATGCTATTGTACTACAATTGCAAGGGACATGAATTGATTTTTTGTTATGCTATGAATCAACTTTGTCTAGTATAGAAGAACGTGCACGAGTGCGAAATATTTGCGAAAAGCAAAATTGACAAAATTTCTTCATAAAAATATTTGAATGCTATGCTTAATTGAAAGTATGTAGATTGTACTTATGTACATATGTATATTACATTATTAAATTCCGTGTTATTAAATTACCAAATAATGTGTATATTGTTTAGTTTTTTCTTAAACAAATGAATATGAATATGCGATGTGCTTACACATGCACATACTATTGTACATAATTACTTATCTTTAGAGCATACAATTTGGCGGAGACGACGGCATAAACAAACCTTGGCTACGTACGGTGTTTATTTTATTTGAATAAAAAAAATATTAATACAAGTAAGTAATTTAAAAATATACACATATAATATGTTTGACGATATTAAATTCCTAAAACTTTTTCATATGACATACACAGCAAATATAATTTCGATAATCAATCAAAAAATCACGGGTTAAATTTATTGGAAAGTATCAAATTTCATAATTGGATTTGTAACTATAATGGTGGATAAAGACGAAGAGAAGAATATTGTAACGAACAATATAGCACAGAAACAGGAAGTGAATAAGAATACGCTGAAATCTCTTAACGTAAACGCAGCCACGTTACAAAACACTTCAAATGCAGCAACAGCATCATCAGCAGCGGCGGCAGCAGCAGCAAGCGGAGACAGCTCCAATCAAAATGCAGCGAATCAAACACATTTGGTAGGCAGTCATAACCATCCAAAATTGATACCCATACAGAGTGTACTAAACACCACCGACTCACACCATCAGAATACTACCACATCGAGTCATCATCAAATTAAAGGCCATGAAAATACGACATCAGCATTTCCCCAATTTCTTGCACCTGGCGGTAATGTCCATACACAAGTGGCTACAGAGTTGCCACACGAAGACGAGGAACGCTTGGAGAATCTTTTCAAACGTTTAGATAGGGATGGAAATGGCCGTATTGATATACACGATTTATCGGAGGCACTACGTGAATTTGGTCTATCAAGCGTTTACGCTGAGGTATGTTTAAAAACGAAAATGTTCGATGAATATAAATTCAAACATTTAAAAAAAAAAAACTGATAAATGTTGAAGTGCAAAGTACAAATATTTCAAATATATATGTAAGTAAGTTAATATATTTTATATGCAAACGTATGAGAAAATAGACCGTAAATTCCAATTAGTATTATCTGTTTCAAACAATATACGTATACAAGTACATACCTATATTTTAATGATTTTCGAAATTCTTTGCATTAAAATCTTTTAATTATTTTAAATATAAAAGTCATCAAACTTTTTGTTGTCTTCAAACTTGTTTACTTAAAGAAATTCCTGGAGCAATCCGCTATAAATCAAACTGGCGATGTTGGGCTAGCAGAATTCGTTTTCTATGTGCGTGAACATGAAAAAAATTTACGTTTGCAGTTCTCACATTTGGATAAAAATAAGGATGGTATGTGCTTTGAAATTTTTTACGTTATAAGATTCAAACATTAAATGAATATTCGTATTTTTTTTTTAGGTAAAGTCGATTTGGAAGAGCTCATAGACGCTTTCAAAGATTTGGGTCTCGAAGTTGATCATGAAGAAGCGAAAAATCTTTTAGCGCGGTAGGTTTCTACATAAAATATGATTTGAACACATTAACATGATTTACAATAAATATTTAATTTTTTTTACTGTTTGTAGCAATTTGAATAGTTGTAGTTTAGCTGTCATTTACAAAATAATATATATTAATCACCACACACGGCAATTCATTGTAATTGTGGGATTCAATTTGAATAAAAACTCTACAGAAATATTTATTTTTGTAGAATATTTTACTGTTTGCAAACAAATTTATCATTTACATAATATATATTAAAAATCATGTGTCCTTAAACAAATTTAACACCGTAACCATAACAAAATTTTCACTTTCATTTTTCATCAACCAAAACAAATTTTGACATTTAACATTATAAATACCTTTCATAATACAATTTCTAGCAGTTTTTAGTTCCTCCAAAAAAAAATGTAGGGTAAGTCCAAACATTTCGACACTTTAACTTCTCCCCAAATACATACATACGTAACTGCGTACCAAAACTATTTGATTTGAAGGAAAAAAATTTAGTTATAGAGCAAATTGTTACTGTTTCTTTTCTGTGAAAGTTCAAGGTAGCTTGTAATTTTGTTTTTATACAAGCTTCTGCAATTACGATTAGATTGAAATACAAAATTTTATTTAAAATACTAACAAACTGTTGCTGGCGCTGAATTAAGTACGCAAAAAATAATAAACAAATAAATAAAAACACTTAAATTCGTTATACGTTCACAAAATAATACAAAATTTGCAATTATTATCTAAGTTCGGCTAAATTTGATGTTTGCATTTTTCGTTCCCTTATTAGGATAAAATATGAGAAAATCTCAGTTTTAAGGTGAGAGATCGTGTATAGATTTAGTGAAACTGTATGTGACGTGCACAAGTTAATTGTCTGAATGTAAATATGTATGTACATATGTATGTATCGGTAAAAATTCCAATATTTTATGCATGCTATCTTGTTTTTTTTTTTTAACTGATTGCTTTTAAATTTTATTAAAATTCCCAATTTTTTCATTGTTATTTATAATATTTTTTTCCATCACTTTTTTCTATCTTACAATCAACCACTCACTCATACAGTATGGATCAAGATGGCAGTCTAAATATAAGCTTTAATGAATGGCGTGATTTCTTGTTATTGGCACCCTCAACTGATATTCACGATTTGATAAAATTTTGGCGGCATTCTACTGTAAGTACAATTGATGCTGTGTTTTTGGTATATGAAAAATGTATGTTGCATATTAAATATTCAGCCATACATATGTGCTGTACATTTATTATAGATATATTGTGAGTAAATATAATTGCAAAGCCGAATTTTCAAAAGTTATAGTTGAGCGCAAAAAAGTACAAAAAATATTCAATATTACGGTGCAAATGAATTTTGCAAAATTAGCTTTTTTTTTTTGAATAGAAATACTTTAAAAAATTTCAATGCTAAAACATATTTATTTTAATCAAAAAATTTGACAACTGAAATAAATAAGAAATTAATCTACCCATGAATTCTGTGTACATGTATGCTTGTATGTATGTGTGTATCAACAAAAACCATGACTTGTTAATTTAAATATAAATATTTACCAAATTTTATGCTACAATATTCGACTGAATTTCAGCATGAAATGTCAAACAGCAACGAAATATGTTCATAAATATCTACGTACATACATATATGTACTTGTATTGTATTTATTTGCATGCGCTCGTGCACATACCCAAATCTAATCACATTTTATTGTTCTTCTTTTTCTCTTTGTCACTATAAGAACTGATTTATTTCTTATTCAATTAATTTGCACAAAACTAAGGCAAAACAAAAAATGGAAAAAACAACGACAGCTTCAAATAATACCTCCCAAACACTCGTTAGACTGAATGCAATTTGCGTAAAATTCTGATTATATTCAAAATACAATAACAAGCCTTAGTTCGCCATTATTTAACTATTGCACATCTAATTTTTAATATAAATAGTTAAAATGGTGCTTTTGTATATCTATTAGCACCCATTGTAGAAAGGGGTGTTAGAAAAGACATTCGCTTCCTCACTTGCTGTGTAACTTTCATCGTCAACGGAAAATTACTCTGAATAATTTATTAAAAAATATTTTGTTATGACAATTTAGATTTTGGGCAGGTCACACTGACAATGCAACACCGTTGTGTAGGGCGGGGCGCTTGTGATGAATGAGGGACTGAATGAGCTGTTCGGCTACTTATTTATTTTCTTTTGTTTGTTTTTATTATCCATTATATATTTTTTATCTTTGTAAAAATTGTTGCTAAAGTAAAGTATAAGGTTGACTTGTACTTTGGGAGATAGTAACAATTGTTTAAGATTTTTTGAACAAAGAAGCAGCATTTTGTTTTCATACAAAAAATATTAATTTATAATAAAAATGAATAAAAAAATCATAAAGAATAAAACTATCAAATTCTGATTCGAAAATAGTTTAAAGATAATATTTTAATTTTTTGTTGCATACTTTTATGCGTAAATACAGTCTGACAGATATACAAATAATATGAAAACCCTTATAATGAGAATTAACAAAAATATAAAAAATTTAATTGAAATGAAAAGAAAAATTAAATTGAAATGAAAAAAGAAAAATTAAATTGAAATGAAAAAAAAAAATTAAATTGAAATGAAAAAAAAAAAATTAAATTGAAATGAAAAAAAAAAATTAAATTGAAATGAAAAAAAAAAAATTAAATTGAAATGAAAAAAAAAAATTAAATTGAAATGAAAAAAATTAAATTGAAATGAAAAAAAAAATTAAATTAAAAATAAAAATAAATGTAATTAAAATTAAAAAAAAATTAAATTCAAATTTGAAAAAATTATATTAGAATTAAAAAAAAATAAGTTAAATTCAAAAATTAATTAGAGCTATAAAGAATTAAATTAAAATTGAAAAAAATTAAACTACAAAAAAAATCAAATATTAAAAAGTTTCAAAATAAAGAAACAGCTCATGCAAATATTGAAATATTTTTAAATTAAATTTGTGTAAAGGCAATTTTAAGCAATATTAAAGTTTATACCCTAAAATAACCCCTGCGGGTTAGGAATTCAAAAATTTACCGACGGTAAGGCGTGCCTCTCGTAAGAGGCGACTCAAATCCAATAGTTCCCGGGACAGTTTGGAACTGGATATACCGGAACGACCCGGATTTTTTAGCCGACCAAGGACTGTCACTTACGCAATATTCCCAAAAAACTACTTTGCGGAATATTTTTGCGGTTACAACTACAACAACACCACCAAAGATATTTAAACTATTCAGTGAATGGTACAAAATTAATTATTCGAACAAAAAAAGTGTTCATGTCCATTGTAAATAAATGTTAGATTGCAATTTCGGTTGTTTATATGTATAAAAATGTAAATAACCGCGGCTTTGCAATCGGTAGGCGTTTTTGGGCCGATTAAAATCATTTAAAAAGGAATATCTAAAATTAAGCTAAAAAAATTGTTTTACTGTTAAATTGAAAATAACTACTTACCATATACAAATTATTAAAATGTGTGCTGTTTATTCTTAAAAAAACGCAACATATTGTTAAAGATAACACCATTAATTAGGCGCCACAAAATAATACTCCTTACTAACAGAAACTGTATACTAGTTACCGTGATTTCAAAACGATAATTATGAAACGGTAAAATTTGTCATGGCCAAACTTACCGTGAAGACTATAAATGACAGTTCGTTGTGGTGATTGTATAATTTTGATTTTTGCTTTATTATTAATTTTGCCAAGGTGTAAGTGGGCATGGTGATTTCGATACGGTGGTTAGACTTCATACATATAACACTGGAATGTATGCAAGGGCAGTACGATTTTACATTACAGTTGCTAACTGCAACTCATATGAATTTAAGATGGAACGGTTACTTTAGGTGTAATGTTCTTTATACGCCTAAAAGTAGGCAATAGATTTATTAAAACATTTCTCCGATAGATAAAAGTAGTTGCTCAGAATTTTCTTCTGTTATTAATTTCTTTTGCAATCTCACTCCTTTGGCGTAAAATTAATAAACTGAAATTAAAAGAAAAATATTTCTATGCGCGAAAATTCCATTTATCTGACAAAATTCACAATCATGTTAAATTAAGGTAAAACGAATTGAGAGATGCATACATATGTATATATAAAAGAGTATTTTCAATAATTCACTGTTTGGCTTTTGCAACATTTAATTTATTTGGCGCCAAATTTTCGCTCAAATTTTGTATACCTAAAATTTTCATTGACATTGCCAAAAATTAATTTGTTGTGAATGAGGTTTCAAAAAAATTTCAACAATGTATGTGTGTCATGCCTACATACATACCCTTATACAATGCAATTGTGTGCTTGTCATTTTACCTGGCAGTTTTGCTTTCAGCTGCCGGTTTTTGGAATGGCTTCTTCTGGGAAAGACTACTTAACCGGAAAGATATATCATCTGGCTCTTTTGTTTGGAGACAAACACATACATATACTATTCATCTATGCACACCCTCCCCTACATACTGGCATACAGACATAGAGAGACCCTGCTTTTAGGTTTTTTTTTTCTTTTTTTTCTGAAAAGAGCATCGTTTGATCGCTAAAAGTCAATAATATAACAACAATATAATTTAGTATGCTCGTACTTTGTACCGAGCTATCGACGACTTTTTGACTGTTTGACTGGTGAGCGCATGCATGTGTTGGTGAGACAGAGAATAACATGATAATACATATTTGGTACCTCATGAGCCAGCCGCCAGGTTCACTCAGCCAGCCTAGTCACTCAGTCAGTCAGTCTCTGTTCATCATGCTCACATAGAAGACGTGTTTTCCGGGCTCTCGCTTGCAATTGCAGTGAATTACGTAACAAAAACGCATTAAACAAGAGCGAAGTAATTAATTTAATTTCGTGATTTATAATCGATTTTGGAAACATATATACATACAACACCTTTTTTCGAAATTTATATTTATTCGCAAAAAAGTTCGAAGAATTCCGCATAACTTTCATAACTGCACCGAGCAACGTAATAGGCGACTTCGTAATTGAAATCGCGAGCGTAATCTTCTATAATTTACAATATAACAAGCAACACGTAATCGCTGATAGAACGAGTACTCGGTATAAGTGCAATAATAATACAAATAAAAACATAATAAATTTTAGCCATTTTCTTCTAAATAATTTTAATTAATTCAAAAAAAAAAAAAAAAAGAAAAANCCAAACCAATAGAAATACTAAACTAGCGAACAACAACAACAACAACAGTAGCAGTGACAACGTTAGCGCGCATTGCAGTTGATTCGTTGGTGACGTTCAACAAAATAGCAGAAATAGCTTGCGCACAAGCAGAAATCGCAAAGTACTCGCGTGGCGCGTGTGTGGTGTTTTTCGAAAATTTGTTGTTTTCTAATTTATTGTTTTGCAAATTGCATAAAATAAATATACAGAATGCTACGTAGCAACAACAATTGGCCTACAGATTATCAGAATTTTCAACAAATGGCTATTCAAGGTGATGTTCTGGAAGATTTTGTTGTAATCTTCCGCGACGTTATGACGCGGGTATGTATTTATCTAATTTTTTTTGTTTTTTTTTTTGTTGTTACCAACACAAATATACATATGTACATTATCAATTCATTTCACTTAAAATTTATCTGAAATTGAGGAAATGACTCATATACGCGCCTGCTGGCATTGCATGTATGTTAGTGTGTATGTGCGATTTCTTGATAAAGATAAAAACCAATTTCAAGTTATTCAAGCAATAATTGTGCTTGTTGTAAAGAAAAGTTCCTCGCGTTGGCATTCAAGTCTAGACATAAATATTTATATTTATATGAATATTTGCATTTTTTTATTTAATTATTTATAATTATGTGTATGTATATGTGTAGTCGCAGCGCTTAGTCAACAATAACCGGATTGATAAGCTTTCTTGGTAATTACAATGTAATTTTTTCCGCTCTCTTGCAATGTCATTTTTTACTCTACAATTTTTTCTCAGCCGGACACTTTTTTTTTTTTTTTTTTTTTTTTTTTTTTTTTTTTTTTTTTTTTTTGTTAATATTGGGCTACTATTATTTTTATTATAGTTATTATTATTACTATTGTGGCTATTTTTAACATATTTTAATTTTTGTTATAATTATAGATTTTATTTTTATTTTTGTTGTTATTATTATTTTTATTTTCTATTACATTTATTATTATCAATATTATTGTTCTTGATTTTATTATTAATTTTATTTTATTTTTTTTTCATTGTTATTAATTATAATATTATTAGTTTTACTATTTTTTTATTATGGGTTTTTTATTACTATTTTGCTATTTTTTTACTTCAATATATTATTATATGGTTTTTATTAATAATAATTTTATTTTTGTTTTTATTTTTTATTTTTATAAAAAATTATTGTAATCTTAATAACAATTTAAATTCTATTGACCCTGTATTTTATTTTAAACCTAAAATGTATTTGTATTTTTATATGTATGTATATGTACCCACTTGCCGTTGACGCCAAGCTAGCTAAAACCTACCTACATACATACATATATATGTATGTAGTTTCTTTGTGCCGAGTTTCCACCGCACTGCGCATGGCAACCAATAAGGAAGAAGGCAAACTAAGGCGACATATTTGAAACGCGCACACTTTATAGCATTTTACTTGACTTTTTGTTGTTGCAAATGAATTTTATATTTTACATACATATGTATGCGGCAGTTTAATCACTAAGCAACAATTTTTAAAATAATAGATTAATTAATATACAGCAATTTATATACATACATACATGCAGCTAAATCCCTAAAAATATAAAAATGTTTTTATATTTAGTAAACACTCAAGCCAAGTATTACATATACATACATTAAAATATGGTATTTTATTAAATAACTCGTAAACAAATTAATAAATAGCCCAATCAAGGAGACAAACGAGCAAATACAACGAAAAATAAGAGAAAATGTACATATGTTTAAGCAAAAGGCACAGCGCTGAATTGAATTTTTGCAAATTTTGATAAAAACAAACAAATATAAATTAAAAATACGACTGTGTCGCACGACCGCTGGAGTTTGTTTGAAATTTGTTTTATTTTCCTCCCTCTTTTGCAATTAAAATCATTATTTCAAGAATTTCTTATAAAGAAAAATTTTTTTTTAAATTCATATACATATGTATGTACATATGTATTTCTCGTTCTTTCTAGTATTAAGTGGTTCAATATAAATTACAAAGTCTATCACTTACATACATAGTATATTCGACTGCTGGTACATTTGTATGTATGTGTATGTATTTACTTATATTTTAACGCTTTGTTATTATCTCACTGATAAGCGGTGTCGGAACGGACGTGATGGAAACAAATATTCTTATCACTTTTTATTTGGCTTTAGAAAACAATTTCAAATACGTAAATACAATTAATGAATTGGCGAATAAATTTTAGCGAAATAAAATGCAATCAATTACTGATAACTAGAAGAAGGTAATAGCTAAAGTTTAATTCTAAAAAATAGATAATTCTTGCAGAGGGGCGTGTTCTGTTCTGCTTGTATGTGTTTGCTCTATGTATACATACATACATACATATGTATGATTACTTACGTCATCCAACGGTTTTGTCAGCTGTAGACTTATTGCCTTTGCAATATTTGTGTGATCTGAAAACTCAATTGCCGTTGTTGTTGGTGTTGTTTAAAACTCTGGAAAATAAACTGGGTATTCCACATTAGCCGCACTTACTCTACATTTAAGAGCGTCAAAAACTGAGCATTTACATAATATTAAGTTTGATTGATCAATACTACTTTTTGATACCTCGATGTAATCATTATTGTGCTCATTTGTAATTACAAATTGTTAAATAAGCTGTCATATCGCAACAGATTGAGTTTTTGGTGTCTGATACATCTTCTTCTTCTTTCTTAGTGTTGACACCGCTTACGTGATTATAACCGTTTCAATATTAGCGCTCAATTCCTGTCTTGCTTTCGCGGTCTGGCGCTCGTTAGAAATACTAAGTAAGGCCAGGGCCTTCTCCAACTGGTTTTTCCAACGGAGTGGAGGTCTTCCTTTCCGTCTGCTTCCACCAGCGGTCACTGCATCGAATACTTTCAAAGCTGGAGTGATTTCATCCACAGGGACCACATGACCTAGCCAGCGTAGCCCCTAATTCTTGATTCGCTGAACTATATCAATTTCGCCGTATAACTCGTACAGCTAATCGTTCCATCGTTTGCGATATTTGCCGTTGCCAATGCACAAAACCTTTCTCTCGGGCATCCGTTAGTAGATCACCTCTCTGCGGCCTACAAGAGTCCGCTCCGTTCTTGAAACCTTCTGTAAGCCATCGCAACTTTTCATAGAATTTTCGGGAATTTCCCTCGTCGGCCAGCTTTCAAGCTCTTCGTACTCACACTTCTCGGCTTTTTTTTTTTTTGTCTGCAGTCTTGCTTTCCCCTTCAATTCTCGGTATCTATCTCAATTATATATGCCACACCGTTCGTGTAGTTGTCGATCGCACCGTTGCGTTGTAGGCAGTCTGCTTTCTCTCCACTGCGATACGACAGCCCTCATCGTACCAGCTTTTGGCAACTTTGGCCAAATCGTATTTTTCTTCCGTCGGGGCGTAGGGGCAAATCAACGATCTTTAAAGAGTTTCGCTCTGGTGCGGATTTTGGCGAGACCACTGGGTTGAATGCCAGTACTCGACGACGGAGTCTCTCTCCCACCGCAAATCCAACACCAAATTTGCGCTCCTTTACTTACATCGGTCCTTCCCCCGTCCATCGCACTTCCTGGACGGTGGTGATGTCAGCCTTTATTCTTACGAGGACATCAAACAACTAGACAGCGCCACCTTTCCGATTAAAGGAAGAGGAGATATTCCAGATGCATCCCCTTAAATCGTAATCTTTTATTCGTTTGTGGAGGTCGTCAACAGAAAGGGATTACCTCATTTGAGGCTTAATAAGAGAATACATTGACTTTAATTATCAGACAGTGACATATTTGTCGATTTTAGGTGTTACAGATCGGATTAAATGCCAGAATTAAATCAAGTTGCTTTCATAACACCATTTCAAACAGATATTGATTTTCAATTCCGATAAATAATTTTCTTTTCTGGGCGTGTTTATGCAATTATTATGCTAATATTTATTTATTTTACCTAAATGGTATCCATGAAGGTTGACATAGGCTTCTTCGCAATCGATAGCTTCAATAGTGCCTCCAACGTGGCGGCGATAGACCGTTAATAGCATCCGATTGCAAAGAATCGCTAGTGAATAGAATAGTGTAAAAACTGAAAAAATATTTAAAAGTTGTATTATTACCTGTTTTTCCGTAGATAATGTTGTTATTTTCTGCCTTTTAGTTGGCTATCAAGAAACTCAGTTGCATTCAAGTGGAAACGATCTTCAACTTCCCGAAGCCAACTATTACCCTATGATGAAGTGTACAATACCTCCCCAACTTGGGGTAAAACGTATGCCAAATACTCGAAAGCCATTTTTGTTTACAATTTTATTTTAATTTTTGTATAACACTTAGCCAATTTCCCCGATTTGCTTCACTTTATCTTAACCTTAATGAAATAACAATATTTTGTCGATATCGCTAACAACCCATCAATATTCGTCGCTTAGTTAGCGATTTGTCGAGTAGATTATGACAACTGCGATAGCGAATATCGTTAAAATATGTACAACGAATATTAAAACCGTTAAAATTATCGCTAAGTATTATTTGCGATCCGTAAATCGTTATAATACGATAGAGAACTCCCCTACAGATCCTGGAAATTTTCCACATTTCATTCATCATTTAATTGAGAACGTTGCCTTCTGCGCACACTGTGCCGTCTTTAGAAATATTTTTCTTGCATTCTTCGTAGCTCCCAATGGCTTGCAATTGTCTAAAATAAAATGGAATATATTCTACATGTACAATGTATTCATGAAATTGCTTTAAATGCAAGGTGATTGGCCGATCTAATGAAAGTGTGTATGTGCATACCTACCAGACATATTATATGTATACATATATGTATATAGTATGCAAGGAAATTTTCTATGAATTTATTATATCGAAATATCTACACACACACGTCCATATGTACACACTTTGTAGCTTAATTACGCCTCGAAATTGTCGCGGCCAAATATCAAATCAAAGAAATAAATTTGCGCATATACTTCTAGATGTACATATGTATAAGAATATGCATTTGTGTGTGTATGTATATATTCATAATGAAAGCATAGCACACAAATTCATTTTTTTACGTTTTCTTTCTTAATTAACACCTCGTGACTGTGGGTGACTGTCATGTTTGGAGGCCGGCCTAAATGTCTATGTAATTATATTCAATACTATACTATGTAATATATAGCTTAGGCAGAAGAAATCGCGTGCAAAACTACGCAGACATTTGTATGCATACATTTATGTATGTACATATATACATATATCCTCTTTATCTAATGGGTTAATGCATTCACTGTCCACATGATTTATATTTATATTAACTTCTCTTTGTTTCTTCTTCGCACTTGCAGTACCTTGACATTGGTGAAGATTTAAATGTACCTGATGATTTCACGCAAAGTGAAATGCAGACCGGCATGTGGTGGCGTCACTTAGCGGCTGGTGGTATTGCAGGTGCAGTGTCACGTACATGTACAGCACCGTTAGATAGGATAAAAGTGTTCTTGCAGGTAAGTCACTGCCACTAGGCGCTGTTGAATTCACATTAAGTGTATTTATTTTAATTTATATTATTTTTCTATTTTTTACTCACTCGTTCGCTCTATAGGTTCAAACACATAAAGCCGGAATCTCTGATAGTTTAAGATATATGCTAAACGAAGGTGGCTTGCGTAGTATGTGGCGTGGCAATGGTATAAATGTTTTGAAAATTGCACCCGAATCGGCAATTAAATTTGCTGCCTATGAGAAAATTAAGCGTCTCATACGCGGCGATGAGAAGCGACAAATGACGATTGGTGAACGTTTTATGGCTGGTGCAGCGGCTGGTGGTATCTCACAGACGGCCATCTATCCAATGGAAGTATTAAAGACACGCTTAGCGTTGCGCAAAACCGGTCAATATAAGGGTATATTGGATGCAGCGAAAAAAATCTATCTAATGGAGGGTGTACGTAGCTTTTATCGTGGTTACATTCCGAATATGTTGGGCATTATTCCTTATGCTGGCATCGATTTGGCAGTTTATGAAACATTAAAGAAAAAGTATCTTAGTAGTCATAATACGGAACAGCCAAGCTTTCTGGTGCTGTTGGCATGTGGCAGTGCGTCGAGTACGTTGGGACAGGTGTGCTCCTATCCATTGGCATTGGTGCGAACGCGGCTGCAAGCGCAAGGTAAATTGGATTAATGTGATGATGGCAAATACAATACAATTGCTAGTTTTTGTTAATAAAATTTTCATTTTCCTTTTACAGTCATCACCAAAAGTAAACAACCCAGTGTTGGTATACCCTTGCGGCAAGCGGGCGCTATTAGCGATGACAACATGTTCGGCGTATTTCGCAAAATCCTACACAATGAAGGCATATGCGGTTTATATCGTGGCATAACACCAAACTTTATAAAAGTGCTTCCCGCTGTCTCTATCAGTTATGTGGTTTATGAATATTCAAGTCGTGCTTTGGGTGTGAATATGACGTGATCCCTTTACATTAAGATCAATGTTAACATTTTAATAAAAATGGTCTTTGTTACAAATACACACGCATACACTATAAAACAACAATGGCGCTCAGATGCATATTGATACTTTTTATGGTATATAGACATACATAAATATATGTGAATTGAATATTGCTCTAGCACTTTGTAGTATGTACTACTGTTGTACTTTTACTCCCAGTCTCTGCCTATTGATTAAACAAACAAACAACAAAAAAAAAACGGAAAAAATGCTACATACATTTGTATAATTCAAATATATATATATATATAAATAATTTTTCTCTGATAGTAATATTGTAGTGATAATTTAGCAAAGATGCTCCGCGTGATACTAATTGCTAATTACATACATAAATAAATAATGAAAAAATTACAAACTACGAAAGCAAAAAATAAATATATATAAAAATGGAACACAGAATTTGAAAAGGGAAGAATGAAAAATGGCGTTGCAGTAGAGGAAGCAGATGGAAATTAAAAAAAAAACTGTAGAATGATGAGAGTCGTTGACTTAAAACATATATAATTTAGTTTATATAAACGTACTGTGTAATATGTATAATAGAACTTGATAGGATTATATATGTATATGTATGTATGTACTATACGCATATGTAATACTAAATATTTATTTCTAAACTATTTTTTACGCAAACAAACGAATACACATGCAAAGAGAGTAGACACGCATTGACGTATTGAAACGAATGTATGTATGTATATTATAGATTCTAATTTATTATTTATTTAGTTAAATGAAAAAATTTGGCGCATGTAAGTGAAAATGTTTAGGTATATATCTACTATATTATATGTATGCAGTATGTATGTTATTGTATAAACCGTTTTAAATAAACTGTACGAGGAGAGAATGCATTTGCAGTACTTTTTTCGTTTAAATATACCCTTCTCTGTTTGCCAATTTAATTTCAAGAAAGAAAAAAAAAAGAAATACAAAAATAAAAAAGAATGATGTGACATATTTAGGCAACCATTTATGCTTTAAACTTTCTATATATGAAAAGTACTACTTCTAAATAAATATATATACATATATATATATATATATGGTCAGTAATAAACATTAATAAACACAGTTACTTACTTTTTAATGATTATTTATGTATATCTATTTAGCTCTTTTTACCTTAAATGTATGTACTGTGACTGCTTTGAAAGCAATTACATATATCGACATTCACAAGCATATATTAAAAGAAATCTTAAAGATTCAATATAAAATTCTGACTCTAATAAAACAACTTCTTTAGCATTACAACAAATTAGATATTTAAAAATACAAATATTAAAATTATAACCTACATGAATATAACATGCATACTTTTTGAGGCTGCAAACTAAACATACATACATACAAACATACATAAACATCGCAATAAGTCGTAACTTCTTAACATAAAGAACTGAAAGAAAGATAATTAAGTTTTAAGTCAAATAGTAAAAAGAAAAAAAAAATCACTTCAATCAATCAATCAAAACTAACAATTAAATTTAAAATGCATACATACATATAGTTATATATACATACATTCATTTAGAAATATATAAAAAAAAGTAAATAAATAAAATAGCAAACAAATGACGAGATTATTGTAGCATATTTTTTATTGATCAAATAAAAAACAAATTACAAATTACGCAAATTATTTTACAATATCAATCGGTTAAATTTCTTAATAATGTAGATAATGAATTAAAAAAAAAAAACAAATATGTTTTAGACATACATATTTATTTTTATATGCCAGCCTTTTTAATTATGCCAAACTACATTTGCATTTATTGTTTTTTTCACACATCATAACCTAAAAACTCCAATTTACATACATATACATATGTACATGCATTGGCGTGTACGCATGTATGTACGTTGCAAAATAATACGATATCTAAATGCGAAGTTAACGTTTAAAGTAAATATATAAAAGACCAATAATGTATGTAATAATAAGAATTCAATAATCATTCACTCACTCTCTTAATATACATATGTATATACATACTTATATATATATATATATATATCTCAATCTCTCTCTATCTCTCTGGTTGACTTATTTGTTTGTGATTTATGCAGGACTCAACTTTCAAGTAAATAAATAAAATTAAATAAAAGTTTAATTGTTTAAAGCTAAAGTGATTTTTGTGTTTTTTCTTCTCTTATGGGGCACACCTAGTGCAATGGCCTAAAAAAAAGGTGATTTTTGGGAAATTTTATTAAAAAAAATACTTTATCAGTTATTTCAAAATTTTAAGAATATATTTATACATGTTTCAAGAATATACAGTGAAATTTTTGAAGAAAAAAATTAAATATTTTTTAAGTTATAGTCGATCTCCTACGGCGCGAATAAAAAAGGTCCTTCACTGCTGCAGTGATTCCGGCCTTCTTGGATGAAATCTAAAAAAATTCTCTACTAGATAATATTGTCTGTACAATGACCTACGATAAGAAAAAATCGAAAATTGACAATATGGCGGCGTTTTAATTAAATATTCGAATTTTACCCAAAATTTTGGTCGTTTTTGGCCTGCCGTAATTCGATTTTTTGATCAGATCAAAAATCGATAGGTCATTGTACGGAGAACTATATATAGAGCATGTAAAAAAAATCGATAGTGATCGGATTATTTGTTTTTGAGTAATCACTGCAGCAAATTCGGAATATGCTGCTTCGAGAAAAACGGGTTTAAAGATAAAATGATCGTTTTCACTCGTAGCTAATGAGACTCTCTAACTGCCGAGCGGCTGCTATTTAAATTGCTATAACTCAAAAACTATTTCAGATATCGATTTGAAATTTCAATATGTTATTTTTAAAGGTGTAATCTACCGAAATATGGAAAAAAAAATATTTTTTAAATTCACACCAGGTGTGCTCCTTAACAAAATAAAATAGAAAATGTATTTTAAAATTACAGATTTTACTGACGACTGTATTAAAACTCTTTTCAGAGTATTTTGTTGTAAACTATATTAAGTGCAAGTGTATATAGAGCCAATTGCGAGTTTTAAAGCACATATACTATACATATGTACTCTATATAGTAAAACGACTAAAATATGATAGAACAGTTATTTGAGTGTAGTTTTGAATGTCGAGCACATTGGTGGTGGCGGCCTGGAAACATCACTAGCATCGATCTCTCGGGGCAAATCTTCTGGATGGATTGATAAAAATTTTTTTATTTCCAAGATTAATTACCTTCAAAACAATTTTTTTTTTTCATCCGAAGACATATGTATGTACATACAAATATGTACCCAAGGTATTGTCTGCTTACGTCAGAAGAAACAAAAAAATGGTTCATTGTTTAAATATAAAAATAGCTGAAAAATAATATAATTAAAAATGATTAAACAATTTTTTTCTTATCAATATCATACGTTTTTAGTGATAAAGTTAATACACAGATTGCCACAGCGTCTGATAGCCAAAGCAAACAAAGCATTTTTGGATAGCTGCTTTTATTTTTAAATTATTTATTTATTTTATTTTCTATATATAATTTTTCTTTTCATTTTTTGTACTCTTAATTACGTGACATCATGAAATATAGTCACCTGTTGTATAGAGAGTGAACTTGAACATTTAATAATGTGGAGTTAATCCGGCTATAATGAGTAGGTACATAGTGATACCGCTGGAAGATTTCTATAAAAGTTACGGGTTTGCTAATTTTAGCTGAAGCGAGGTCAGCGAGGCAGTCAAAAAAATTAAAAGAGGTTATAAAAAAAATACTTTTCTTTGTTAATTTTTTTAGAGGCATTTTATTCCATAAATTAATAGAAAAAAATGCTAATAGACAGAATTTAATGTAGTTTAACAATAAACAAATTAACGAAAATTATAATAAAAAATATTGTATCCTTTTGTTCTTGTAGCCGGTCTCTAGAAGGGCCACCTCTGACGGCGAAGAAGACATTTCTGCTTAAAATTATCTGAAACCCGAAGACCAAAAAAATTTAATATTATAATGGATGAATACGGGCAATGATTGAAAGAATCGTGAAAATGTTGAATTTTGACAAAATGGCGGCTTCAAAAAAAAAATCCATTTTTTATGAGCAATTCAACACTTTGAAGTGACTTAAAACCCCGAAATTATTGACAAACTTTTATTCTTTCGATCATTACCTAATAAATAAATATGCTTCAGAAGGTCGTGTGAAATTCTTAAGCCGATCGCTTCGGCCGTTGCAGAGAAATTTTCCTCGCTGCCTCTGAAAACAGTGTATCGAGGAAAACCCATTTAAAGTTTTGCGAACCAATAACACTAAGTTAAGCTACTCCGTCTTGCGCTTCGCCTACATTCGAACGCCACGAGACGTTCTTAATGATGCGATTATATCTCTGGTCGGATGAACTTCAGATTTTCGAAAAATATTCTCAAATACTCGAGAAATTTGCGCTTTGTAACGAACAATCTCGGCCGAGCTCCTCCAATTTGTGGTTTTGCGTCTTGATGTTTTTTCCACGAATGGAGGGACCCGCAGTTTATACTAAGCTGGCTTCGAACATCTGATTGGTTTTCTTACGAGGAGCTTTATTTCATGTCAGAAGTGCACTAGAGGAGTTCAGAGTTAGAAAAATTAACTTAATTTTTTATAACATTTGAATATTGGTCATACCCGAACCTGAACGCGGGCCTTCTGAACGGCAGTACGCAATGCTAAGCATATATACATGTATGTGCTTTCGAAAAATTAAAAAAATAAAAAGTAATAGATTTTTTGAAAATTGCAAGTGGATATAACCCTTCCACGCTAGACTGGGGTAGAGGTAATATTAACAGTTTCTTTCTCTTCTTCGTTCCTACAATTGCGTTTTTTGCTGTGATACACCCACATGATGCCCATAATTCAGTGTAGTTAGAAGTGTTCCACCTCTTGCTATCTTGTCCGTCGTGCAGTTGCCTAGGATGTCCTGAGTTCGGGCACCCACTTCAAAGCTAGGCTACATTTACTCGACAGCTTGTTCAGTGTACTTCTATAGCTATCGCCAATTCTCTTTATCTTCCAAAAATACAGAAACTGCCTCCTTAACTTCATCATCGGTGATAAATTTTCTACGCCTCAGCCCTTTTTTACTTTTGGAAACAGGTAATAATCACTTGGGACCAGGTCTGGGCTTTAGAGTGTAGAATTCAAAACATATCGAAGCCCACCTTATGCAGTGCTGCCGAAGTCATGCTACTCTTGTGGTCGGTTTTTTTTTTGCAGAGGCGTGAGTATTCTCGGCATCCATCTTGAGCAGACCTTAGTTATGCCAAGATAATCTAGCCGGATTGTTAAAATTGTTGTTTCGGATGCTTCAACTATTTCTGCGAGTGCTTTCTTGTTTAGTCGAGGATCGTCGAGGGCTATTTTCTTTTACATTTCGCATCAATGCGTCTGCCTCACATCGGGTCATCTTCAAGAGATTCTCTTCCTTATTTTAATAAACTGTTCCCCAGACAAGAGTCGCTGTAAACCATTGGCATTTCATTCATTACGGTTGCTACTGATTTTGATTGCTTGGTAAGGAACTTTATAAAGTCACGATTTCGATTTCTTTCATATTTCACTTTGCACTCCCGATTGTGTTGCTTGGTTAACATTGCCTAATAACAATGAAAACTCGTATTTATATTTGTATTTATACTAGTTATAAGTCGCTGATCGTAACCCGATCCTAATAAGCCTAATTACCCTCCTACAACCCTTTCATGACGCGAGCATTAAAGGGCTTCGTAGGATATTTGCAGTATTAAGATCTCTTCGCTTGGTCAGCTTGGCTGTTAGAAAAATAGTTGTGGATTTGAGCAACCACTCGGCGGCTTCATGATTGCAATAAGTTATGTACATGCAATAGTCCGATAGTCTGGTACTCATCGGTGAGGCAATTTCAAAGCCCATCGAGTTAAAGTGTCATCTAGTTGTGTGTCCTTTGTAAAAATGGCTAAGGCTCTCCAATTCACGACCGTTGAATTTTCACATTCGCAACTGTCTAGTATTCTTGTGCAAAAAAACTTGAAGAAAGCCGAAATATAGGTGGTGTAATCCAGCGAGAGATACCCTTTGGCGTGTCCTATACTGCGATTCTTCTCACTAATATCTGTCCCAAAAAAAGGTTGAACGTAAAAATTAATGAATAATGTTTTATAAAAATATTACCAAAAATTGGTTTTTTAATTAATTAATAGTAGTTATAAATAATATTTATTAATTTTTTTTTAATAATTTGTTGTATTCCGAGGAATTTAATAGCTATCAAACGATATTTGAGGGATAGAAAATATGTTCTCTCTTTGAATATTAAAATATTACTAATTCTTACATAAAGCAAAAAATTCAAATAATTACAGAAATTAAAACAAATATTGCCTTAATTAGATTCGTTACGCTTTTTTCATTAAGAAAAAACAATTAAAAATTTTTCTTCTTTTCTAGTTGCACCTGATTTTTTACTTCTCCCTTTTTACACTGGATGTTCGACGCGATTATTAAGGCGAAAATAATTTTCTACGGTTCTTGTTGTAACCACAAAAAGTACTTTTTGAGGAATGTTGCGGGCGTGACAGTCCTTGGTCGGATAAAAATCCGGGTCGTTCCGGTATAAAGACCCAACTGTCGCGAGAACTATTGGACTTTAGTCGCCTCTTACGACGGGCATTCCTTACTCCTAACCCGCAGGTTGGATTTTTCTGTGAAGCTCTAGGAAGATGGAAGATTTTGCATTAAATAGCATATCTGGAGTAGTCTGAAAGGATTGAAATTGAGTATGGCAACAACAGACCGAATGGCTAAAAACAGTTTCTGATCGCTTGGAGCAAAAGACGAATGTTTGCAAGCAAAGCTTTGTATATATTTAGAGATGTTTCAAAAAAGGATTGGGAGGTAATGGCTGCTCAACTAGAGATTAGTCATTAAGTCATTAAGCCATTGCAGTATCTTCCACGCCGAACCTTTACTTATACCGCAGAATTACTGCAAAAAGCCGGCCTTCATTGAAAGAGAACACATATTAGTGGACATTAAGACCTTATTTTCACATAGCACGAAATCGGTAGTGGTTACACACTCTGTAAAGAGGCGATCAAATCACTGACTGTGAAAGGACGGGTTCGTATTTACTGGGTTCCAAAGCAAGAGACATCGAAGGCAATGAGATTACTGTTAAACTGACTACAGAGCGTGCCCTCGAGAACAAAACGTAACTATGAAAACGCCAGCTCCAACTCAGGGACGTTAAGCAGGCGCTAGAAATTGCCTTTTTCCATCGGGCAAGCAAACTTTGGGAACCAGCAAAGGTATGTAGAATCGTGAAAATTATATGCAAAACATATGACACGCAACTTACTAAGTTTTTAATAGAGAAAACCAGGACACACTCCAGACTTTCATAAGGACTATTAGTTAATAGGTGTGAACTTCAATTTAGGTCCGCTTGAGCACGAAAAATATGCCGAAACAGTGGAGCATGCGAGCCGTGAGTGCCCGTCGCTCGACAAAAGGAGAACATTCTAACTTGGCGAGAAGAAACAGTAGGATCTTTAAGCAAACCAAAACTACTACTACTTCAATTTGTGAATGTTCCTAGAAAGGACCAACTAGGAGTGCAGCAGCACAGATTTAGTCGTTTGTAGTGTATCCAGTAATACCATGAGCGTGCTAGCTTCTATCTCAGACTTGCTAGAGTCAGCCAATACATTCTAACCTCTGTGCACTCCTAACTAGCCTGAGTAGTATTAAATAAGAAACCGTCACAACTTAAAATTTTTTACGGCTGCAAAAAATTCTTGTAAATCACAATCTTTCTTAACTGGTACCATACCGTTATACCTGTGTTCATGTAGAGTACTCTCATGATTATTTGAGATTTTCGGAGTTATGACTGCTTTTTGATTTAGGATACAATACGAATTTTTATCGAACTCAAACTCAATTTTAATATATTATGACTGAGTAAATCAAAATTAAATTAAATAAAAATATTTCAAAATTTTGAATCAATTAAATTGTTTTTTTTTTCTTATTACGAAAACATTTCAATATTTTTTTTTATAATTTCAGGAAATTTCTCACTAAAATTCGCTTGCATACTGAAACTGTGCATACAAGAGTTTTTGAATATAATTTCCATTCACAATAGGCAATCAGTTTATAATAGTTTTTGAACTGAAAAACATAAGATTTATTTTTAGATACTCAGATGTGCAAGTAGATATCTTTCGGCGAGCAGAGTTGAGTAAGAAGTGAATTGAAAGTAGCAGCTGTGAAAGAATGGACTTTTATTAAATAAAAAATATTTCGTACTTCATAAATTTGCATTTCCACAAAAGGAATATTCAATTCAAAAACTGCAATTATCAAATAGTAAAAATCGTGCCACGAACACAAGAGTTGAGTATGGATATCACCGACATTTCGTATCAGCAGATTTGCAGTGCACGCACCGTGCAATCCGACCAAAAGGGTTTCTTCAATGAATTCTATTTGGAGGTGAAAGAAGGTTGTGGTGGCAAGTGGTTGAAACACTACTTCAGTCAGTTGAAGTCAAACGAGGCGCGCATACTATCGATCTTTAGTGATCGTGAAGTTTGTGACACGGTCTTGGGTGTGCTGGAAAATGTTGCACCCGTGTATAAGGGTAAAGATGGCGTCTTCTCAGTGCAAAGACGTGCACAGGCAGACAAATTTAATTTATTGGGTGATTTCAAACAGGCTCTAGCGCATGCCAATTTGGCTGTAATGCGTGCACCAGCGAAGGGTGAGTGGTGAAAAGTTGGTTAATTTTTTTTAAAGACAAATATTTATTGATCCACCTTCGCAGATGTTGATATTGACATCGATAATGGTCTCAGCCTTGCGATGGCTTATCGCTCGCGTGCTACGATTCTAATTAATTTGGGTGATGGCCAGACTGCGATAAGTGATCTTAAGTTGGCCGCCTCATATGGTTTGGAGTTAAAGGACAATGTGGACTACTACATTAAATTGGCGAAAGCTTATGCTTGTAAGTATGATGTACATTAAAAGAATTTCGTGAGGGAAGGTAATAGAAAGAAAGAATACAATTTTTTACTACATTTTGTAGGCCTTCGTTCTGATAACTTCGTTTCTTTCACATACAGTAACGAAGACTTTAAATATTTAACAGTAACTAAAGGTAGAAAGGTCGGGATTTTGTTTTGAGGGTATCTAGCTCGAAACTAGTTAATAAAAAACAAATTTTGAAAGCTTAAAAACTCTTTCAAAATCATCTCTCTAGATTTTCAGAGTTTTCCCTGTGCTTTGGAGTAATTGGAGCTGCAGGGTTATAGTAGGAACGGTTAGAGTTTTTATTGTTATTAGATCATTATTCTTTAAGCTATTGCCAGACAAGCAACACAATCGAGAGTGAAAAGTGAAATATGGAAAAACTCTAATAACGCGCCGTTATAAAGTTCATTGTCAGGCAAAGAAAATCAGTTGCGACCATAGTGTATGAGATGTCATTGGTTTACGACTACTCTTTTCCGGGTAAAACCATGATGTACGTGTGGCACAGTTCCATTAAACAAGGAAGGAAAGGGAAGACGACCCGACCCGAGATGACTCCGCCAGAGCTAATTCAAAAAGTTGTGCACGACAATGCTCGGCTCCGCCAAAACAAAAGCGAGTAGAGTAGAGTGTTCACGTGTATATTTGATCTCTGTAGTTAAGGGAAGAATGGTGTGTTGAGTCGATTTGTTGCGGGAGATTCTACAAAACTCCATGCCGAAGCATAAAAAACCCAAAGATCTTCCAAGAAGTTAAAGTTTTATTGATCAATTATAAAGATAATATTCTATAACTGAAAAATACTAAGCTTCAATATTAGAGTTTCTACAGGAAATCGATAAAAAGAAAAGGTGTGCCGCTTATGCGCAACGAGCAGCTCGTCCACAAGCGCCGCGTTGTGTTGGTTGCCTTGTTTAAGGTAGGTTTCGATATTTTGAATCACCCACCCAACCCAGGCCTGGTCCCGAATGAAGAAAGAGCTGAGAGTGAAAAATTGATCACCGATGATAAGGTCAAGGAGGCAGTTTCGGCCTATTTTGAAGATAACGAGAAATCATCTATTTATGAGGATATAAATCAATTAAATGAAAGATATGAAAAATAAATCCATCAGATAGATAGATAGATACACTCTTAGCCCATTTCGCGAACATAGAGACGTTCCCTTGTATACATAAGATATTCTATAGGGCTTGGATAAGAAAGTCAAAGGGATTGCATTAAGAACTTGCGTGTATGATTTTTTTTAACAAAATTTGCGGAGATGGAAAGTTTTTCTTCACTGAGCTCGGCATGTTTTTCGATACCCCTAAATGATTTTAGCTTAATTTTCGAAGCGGAGTGCTTAGGGTGAGAAAGTAAGCAAAGTGATAACATCGACTGAAGAACTCGAAGCTTTAAAGCCACCTGACTCATTAGGTCTTGTCACAAAGGAAATTCGACTCGCCAAAAGTTTGCTATATAATTAAGTAGGTTTGGCGGAAGAATCTTGCATAAGAGTAGGAAGAAAAGAGCTCACCTTACTAACTTACTGCATGATAACCTAGATTAATATATATGTAAGAGAAATAAAAAAGCGGCTACTGCTTTCTAAGATATTAAAATTATATGTCAGCAGTTGGAGACTGTGGGTTCGAGCTATGTTAAGAACACTATCTAAAGACTTTTTTCTTAACTCGTTCACTCTCTCGTCGAGGTACACTTCTGAGTGTATTTCTGCTATGAAACATGAAATAATATTTTTGTCTTTTCTTTCAGTACTCGGCGAAACGGCACGTTCTGAAATATCTCTAAAGATTGCAGAGAAACTTTCCGGAAATATTGCGCTAAGAGAAGCCTTCGAAAAGGAGCTATCACTTATAAGATCATATGAAAGGAGTCAACCTGCTGTAGCACCCCCACTGGCGAGTGGAGAAAACGCCGCGTTGAAAGGTGCATCCAACCTAGTAAAATTGGCCGAGACAAAAGAAAAAGGACGTTTCATTGTAGCGGATAATTATATAAAAACCGGTGATGTTGTCTTGTGTGAGAATCCCCTTACGGCTTGCTTATCGCCAACATACTTCGGTAGTCACTGTCATCATTGCTTCGAGAGGTAAGTCGCTAATGAGGTAATTATTATAGGAGAAATTTAGTTTGTTTACTTCGAACTCTCAAACGACGCTAGAATTTAACCAACCAACATTTATGCAAAGAAAATTTAAATATTTCCACACTTAACTGCTAATATTATGACTGTTACTTAAATCAAACAAAGACTGATTTATTCGAAAATGTTCCATGTCTTAATTTTTTCTTTCGAAAAAAATTTAAAAAAAGTGTTAAGCATGTGAAAAATATTAGCATATTATGTATGTATATATGTAAGTATATATGTATATATGCATATGTACACAAAATTTAATCCTAGATGTGTATATACGTCTGCCATGCACTTATACATATATAAAGGGTTTTCGAATAGGCATCATATAATTTCTAAGTGTTGTTTTGGCCATATTTAATTATTTTATGACATGATCTGCAACTTTTACGGTATTCAATTTTCGATGTGTTCGGTAATGTTTACAATAGCTGTGTTCGTTGAGAAATGTCTGCCAGTAACGAAATTTAGAGCGTGAGATGTCTTACTCTCCCAAAGAAAAAAATTTACTGAGTTTTGACCGAACAGAATTCGTTAATAAGTAGCCAACAAGTTGTACGACAGTTGTTTACATTTAATCTGTTCATTTATTTTTTCTGCTTTTAAGCATTTTTTAAGTATTTTAATAAAATTCCCAATTATTTGGAATTTTTAATTTATTCAACGTATTAAAGATTTATTATATTTCAGCAATATTTAAATTCTATATGCTTTATAGCCATCTAACGATAAAGATATCAATATGTTATTCCCGAAAATTCCTCTAAAATGTCGAATATTTCTGTAGAACTTGCTTTGCAACAATTTGTCGCTTAGATTTTCAGTATGGACGATTGAAATACCAAAACTTATTTGGAATTATTTTCTTGTCCGGCTTGCCATATTAACTCAACATTAGTATAGAGTTAACTCGACTCACAAGCGTTTTTTTTCCTTCTAAACTCTACAAATATTGCATTTTATGCATCGGAAGCCTACGAACGTATTAGCAACAACCTCGCTTAGCAATGTTTTGTGGCTCATTTGGTCGACAGTGCTTCCTAATATAGTTCAGGCATCCAAAATCAATTTTTATTGTACCAAAAATAATAATACAGTCTAAATCTATGCCTTCAGCATACCTAAACTAATTCCTAAATGTACGCTGGGTGGCGTGTGCGAGCGATGTTTCCACTCCACTATTTAAATGAATCTTTGATATGATAAAATTTAATTTAACAAAACTATATTTTGGCTCATATTAAAGTATTAATATTATTTTCATTTTAAACAAATTTTGATTTGTTCACCAAAAATTCAATCATTTGATCACAAATCAGCTGTTTTTCATACTTGTTTTGCACCTCTCTCTCCATATTAAACGTCAAAATTGCGCTCTCTCGTTATTATGCTACACGACCGAAACTAATTCAAAAAACTTGAAAATGAAACTGTTTTTTTTTTTTTTGTAAGAAAATCATCTTCTCCGTTGAGGTTCACTTTTATCTGAGAGGTGCGGTAAATAAAAAAAACTGTGGATTTTGCTACGAAGAAAATTAACAAATCCTTCACCTAAATTAACAATTTGGTGTGGTTTTTTGTCTAATGAAGTCAACGGCCCGTACTACTTTCGAAATGAAGTTGGTAGCACCGTTACTATCAATGGAGAGCGGTATTGTGCGATGACAACCAACTTTTGAGAACCACAATCGGAAGAAGTTGATTTTAACAGCATCTGGTTCCAACAAGACGGCGCTAAGTGTCCAACAACACATGCAACAACCGAATTATTGCGAGCAAGGCTTGGAGTTTCGATTATTTCAAGAAATTGTGACATTGAATGGCATCCAAGAGGTTGTCATTTAAAACCATTAGACTACTGCTTGTGGGGTTATTTTAAGTCATTGGTCTTTAGCAGTCAACCAGACACTCTTCACGCTTTAAAAGTCAATTTTGAACGTGTATTCATGACAAGCGACTTGATTTAATGGAAAAAGTGCCTCAAAATTGGGTTCATCGAATTCGTTCGTACAAAAGAAGTCGTGCAGGCCATTCGAATGATGTTATATTCAAAACTTAAATGTATCGATTGTACTTCACATTAAATAAAAAAGCATTTGAATTTCCTTACCAATTATGTTTTTTTTTGAGAAAAATCACATTTTTATCGGAAAAACCTATATAATTGGCGCTTTGTAACCGTTAAAGCGATTTTCGGCCGCACCTATGTGTATTTAACTTTATACTTATATACATACATATAATATATTAAATGTGATACATTTATAACTATGAATACTATACTAAATAGAAATAATTTAAAATGCATTAACGCAAAATAAATATTTTTACACTTTCAGACTAATTACTCCAATACCATGTGTTAATTGCTCTGGTATTGCGTTCTGTTCGGCCCAATGTATGGGCGAAGCATGTGACAGTTATCATCGTTTTGAATGTCAGTTTATGGACCTTTTTATAGGTAAGTAAAATAGTTTAAATTAATTATGACTAAAAATAAGCGTAAAAGGTACTTATTTAAAAAATAATAATAAGAATTTCTAAAGTTTTCATAAGAAACATTAAATTACATTTTGGCTCGTTATAAATAATAAAAATTAAATTGCTTGGGTTTTAGTTAGCAAAATGTATTCCCACACGACACTCATAAGGGGGGAGTTCAAACCAGCTCAAACTGACAACAAAGTTAGAAATAAATGTTTACGGTCGCCCCTAATATCCTCTGAGTTATTTCTCACATGAAAAAAATTTAATTGGTGCTTTGTAACCGCTGAAACGGTTTTCCGCCGAGCTCCTTCTCCAATTTGTGATGTAAGTCTTGATATTTTTCCAACAAAATTAGGGATCATGAGGAGCTCTTTATTACATGTCAGGGTCCGCAATTATAGCAATTAATTTAATTTTTTATGGAAAAAAATCTTCAACTGGGAAGGGTCCTAAAATAGATTTTAAGTCTCCTCATTTAGCCGAAAAAACATCAGGGCGCACACCATAAGTTAGAAGCTATAGATTATATAAATCGCGAAATATTTTTCACTAAAGAGACTGACACTCTTTAGTAAGACGTATTAATTAAATTCATAATGTTACGCATTCGTAATCAAGTTAATTCCGGCCATGAATGAGTTGAGTTATCTACTTATAAGAACACTTCTTCTTTATCGGCGTAGATACTTCATTCACGAATCTAGCGGAGTTAACAACATCCGCAACAATACCTTTCTGTGAATGGCGTACTTGGAGTTAAATGACTACCCATGGTAGACGAGCCGCTTGGGGAGACCCGCGTAATACTGGCGCAACCTAGGTTTGAATGCTGTAGCAGATTAAACCCCTACTTATCCAGACTCGACCACAACATACCCAACGTATATCCTGCTTGTAGAGAGTCTCCGTACGACCCTAACCACCTCTTTACTCGAACCCGTCGAAACAGCTCGTTTCCTCAACCTCCCGTTAGATGGCCTCGGTATCTTAGATTATTGAGCCTGTCCTTAAGCAGGGGTAGTTAAGCACTACACTAACAAAAACAACGGTAGTGATTAGGGACTTGTTGAGTTTGGTTTTCGTTCGTCGAGAGAGAACTTTACCTTTCAATTACCTACTTAATCCAAAGTACCAACTTAATCCAAAGTACCAACTATGAGCAAGAGTGATTCAGCGATAGACACCTAACTGAAGAAGCTATGAATTTTTCTCTATACTGAGAATCAAGATAGGCCTTCTAATCTAACATATACACTACTTAAGTAGGGAAATACAGATTCACCCGATGTGTAATTGTAATGAGATGGTTTACGAACTGAGCACAACGGTGCAACATCGAAATGCTGGAATACCGATAAACTTTATTCCGTAAGAATACATATACTCTTTACAAGTTGTATCCCCGTATATGACGTTTTTGAAGCGCCCACCAAGTACTCGAGTAGCTCCATTAGATCCGCGAGTTTGTCACGTTTAAGGTCCGAATATATTAAGCTACTGATTATCTGACAAATTTACAGCCGATAAAGACTGAAAAAGGGTTCCACTCCGAACCGAGGAGAGCACCCCAAATGTGAGACACAGTCCGAATTACAGCTGTACTACATACGTGTAGTTTATCTACTTTTAATAAATAATTTTCCAAAGTCTTCCAATCAATCAAAGAAGAGTTATTTTAACAATCTTCACTTTTATTTCAAGGTTCCGGAATGTCGATACTCAGCTACTTGGCGCTACGTGTGTTCACCCAAGCAAAGAGCGTCGAAAGTGCAATCCAGGTCGCCAACGCAATGTATGAGAATCTTTGTGCGCACGTTGAGAACCGACAAGCTGAAGATTACCTACAACGTTCTCTAATGGCTGCATTTCTACTACGATGTTTGCAGAAAGCAGACTACTTTGGACGTCGTAAAAGTGAAGGCGTTAATCCAACCGCAGTCGAATTACAGGTAGGCACTGCACTACTGGGACTACTACAAGTTTTACAATATAATGCACATGAGGTTTTCGAAACGAAAATCACCGAAGAACACCATTTCGAAGGTTCCAAAGTTGTGTACGTAGGCGCAGCTATATATTCAACCGGTGCTTACTTCAATCACGAGTGTTGGCCGAGTGTCGCACGTTATTTTGTTGGGAAAAAACTAGTGCTAACTACCATCAAACCCCATAAACCGAACCAACTGCTAGCCGAGAATTATGGCCCAATATTCACAAAAAATAATTTAAAAGAGCGTCAAAGAGCATTACGTGGACGTTACTTGTTCGACTGTAAGTGTATGGCCTGTCAGGAGAATTGGCCAACAATACATAAAATAGATAAGCAAGTGAGATTTCGCTGCCCAACACCAAGTTGTATGAACGTTTTGAAGTTTCCAAAGGATCTAGCCAAAGATGTACGCTGTGCACGTTGTCGGAAGAATGTTTCGTTAAAAACGAGTGTTGCGAAAATGATACGAATAGAGGAGCTCTATCGTAAAGCTGCCGAAGAAATGCACAAACAAAATGTTTCCGAAGCAATCGAGCAATTTAAGGAAGGTATCGAAATGTTTTTCGAAATTGCAGTTCTGCCTCACAAGGATACCATTATAGCGCAGCATTCGTTGATAAAATGCCTCGCCGATAGAGGTACTACATTTATTTAGGTGGGGACACGGAGTGTGAAATGCAGTTTCAGCTTTTTTTCACAACAAACATTTTAGATAATTTTTAAATAAACTCTGTTAACTTAAATAAAAAATTTGTATGATAATATTACTGTTATATTCATATTTTCCATGAAGTGTAGGTAGTTCCATCTTAAGTTTCGCATCGGGAGGGATATTAGGTGAGTAGGTTTTGGCGAGCAAGCAAAAACGGGATTAGTGTCATCCGGAGACTCGATAAATGTAAGACACATAAAATTAGCGCTTTTGGTTGAGCTCCTACTCCAACTTGTGATTTTCCGTCTACACTCGGAGGGGTAGACATTCCCTGCCGTGGGGCGATAACCATTAGAATAATTTACTTTTTATTAAAGCAAGGTAGTTCCAGTAATTTCGTCTAATATGGATGGCTGAAAATCGCTTCAGCGGTTACAAAGCGTCAATTATGATCTCGATTCTTATTACGCCATTCACGAGAAGACACATAATGGGGTGTTTATAGACTTTCTGTGATTGGCTTTTAGTTAGTTCTTTTCGGTAGCTCGTCCTTTTTAGCGGTTTCGTGAGTTGGTGCTAAATGTAGTCCGTGAAGCCAAATATTCTTCCCCTGAGCTTGAGGGAGCGTTCAGCTTCCAGCGAGTGTCTGCAGATATTATTTTCCCGGCATAACATTTTGATCCCAACTAGCATCTAACTTGGCAAATGGTGACAAGCTCCGTGTCATAGTCTTCAAGATTCCACATTTGTTGTTCTACACTAATTATCTTTAAAATATGTTGGAAGTTTTGAAAAAAAAAAATTAAAAAATTAACTTTCATATATTTTATTGCTAAAATCAAAATTAATTATTGGTTTAATTAATTGTTAACTAAATTTCATGCGAACGAAAAAATTTTCAAGGGAACAAATTACATCAATCAAAAAAATTTCACATCTGGCACCACTACAAAATCATATGGCATTTGTTTATTTGCAACAGCGTTCAGTCGGTGTGGAATTTATAAACAATTTGTAAAATTTTATATTTTTAATAGAACTAAACTAATAATGATAAAGCGACCACAAAGCGGCGAAACTGAAGAGGACATATTGCGCATGCAAAATGAATTTTTATCACAACGAGCCAAGAATCCCAAATTGCAACCAGCGGCACAATGTGTAAAAGTGCAGAAAGGTAAATTTACAACAATAAACGTAACTTTTTGTACTTATCCTCTACAATCTAATAATAATTTCCATTTAGAACTTAAAAAGTCATTATTCGTAAGGAATCGACGGAAGGATAGTGAAAAAGATGTGAATGCTAATGCAGAGCAACCACCCAGGAATGCGGTGCTTATTTCGCAAGTTCAAAAAGAAATCTTGGGTGAAATTCATGAAAAAATTGTGGGAGATGTAAATGTGCAACCAGTGGAAAATTTTAGTGACATTGTGCTTGGTGATATTGTAGAGCGTAAATTTGATGCGCCAATGCTGAACGATAAAAGCAATGTGGAGGCTGTAGCATTTCCCACCATAGAAAGAAAAGTTTTAATTGTAAGTTATAAGGCTTTATGTTCATTTTCAAGCTATATATATATGACTATATTACTTAAAATAGAAACCATTAAAAACGGGTAAAAGCATATTTGCCTCCAACGATGCTGGAAAAAAGCAGCAGTTTAACGCAAACGTAGCATCAGTGCCCACTGAAGTTTTGACGAAATTGTATGGCAGTGAAAGTGTAATTGTCAATAACTCGCAAATTGCGGAAGAAGTGCACAAAGAAAATTTAGATCTTTTGAGCAAAATGTCAAGGGACGATATTTTAGCTGAAAGAGAAAAGCTGTTGAATACAATCGGTAGGTTGTTAAAAATAATAAAAAGAACCAGTAGTTATCTTTTATTTGACCATTATTGTGTTCTTCTTCCAAAAGATCCTACACTCTTGACATTATTAAAGAAGAAACGTCAAGAAAAGTTGAATCCTCCAGTTTTTATACCGGAAAGTAGTATCAAAGTCTGTAAAGATCCTGAAAAAACTGCTGCTCCGGAACCTATGGATGTGAGTGACGTTTTGACGCCTTCAAATGCGGCTTTTGAAATAATACAACAAAGTGAGGCAGAAAACTGGGTGCACTTTGATGTTGTAGAAACAGATAAACTAAAGTGGATGCGTGATGTAGACGAAAGTGCGACAGAAATGAAACCAGGCGAAAAATTCGAAGCACGTTTCGATTGGAAAGGCGTTCTTCTACCGTACTCAGTTGATGCCATCTCCAATAGAAGCAAGCCTGACGAAACCGCATCTGTAAACGATGATAGAGAACTTTACCTGCATGGCGACGAACCTCATCGACCTGGCTATACACTGCAAGAACTTTTTCGCTTGGCACGGTATTTTTCCAAGTGAATTTATTTTAATAAAGCAATTTATGAAATATTTCTTCCGCATACAGCTCGAATGTAATGCAACAACGTATATCAGCATTTGGCGCTATTGGTGGTATTTTAAGTATATACAATCAAGGTTTCTATGATGGTGTCCTAGAGTTACCAATTTCGAAAATATTCTTCTTACTACGTTTCGGTCTCGATGACAATACGCCAGCGGTTTTGGAGGTCGTCTCCAGAGCGCTTGCCTACCTCTTTTACAATGAAGCGGATGAGGTGTGGTTAATATTAAATTAAATTAATATTAAATTAAATTAAGTGAATTCTTATAATATTTACATCACAGACACTGTTGGATTTTATTTTCGATAACCCAGGCTGTCAGTGGCAGCCACGTTTAGAGACTGCAGATATGTCTGCCGATATTAAAGAACTCAATGCTTTGGAAAGTCTACAAAATCAAATGCGACAGTTGCAAGTGAACGATGAGGGCAATCGTTCGTTATTTCGCAGTGATTTCGAGGATAATGAAAATGAAAGTAAAACTTCTATGAGCGATTTTCAATTAGCCGAAACGAATTTAATGGAATGTTTACTGCGAACAAATATTTTGCAACGCGTATAGTAAGTGGAGTTTTTCTAGTTTTTTTTTTCTTTTAAATAAATCAATGTGCTTTGCCTTGTTTAGTTTTATATTGAACACTGTTAAGCCGGAAAATAGTAGCGTGACTTCATGCTTAAAAATATTAATACGCTTGGCCCGCACAAATACAGACATTGCTGGCAAAATTGTCGCAAATACAGATTTAATGCATTGTGTTTTCAAATATTTCCTGCCCGATTTGAGTCACATTGGTAAGTACAAAAAGAAAAATGAGCATTGAATAAATAATTTAGCTAACCAATATCAATATATTTTTCATATCTTTTATAGAAACAAATTTGGCTACACCGCAATTTTATTATTATCCACAATTTTTATGCTTGAAGCTGCTGCGTATTTTAATATCACAAAATCTTGGCATTGCTGTGAGATTAATGAACTTGCAGTTAAAGCAAAGTTTGATCAATTATTTGTCCTATCGTGCAGATATTCAAGTTTGTACACCATTTACGCACACATTTAACTTGTATATGTAAACAAAATTCAAAAACATTTCTTTTTTTTTACAGGATGCAATGATTAAAGTGCAAATAGAGTGTTTACGTATTGTGCGTTGTCTACTCTTACTGCGTATTGACGATTCACTTTACAGGTGCGTTTTGGTAATTCTTACTTTTGTAATTGATTTTCTATTTACATAAACTAACTAAGTAACTTTAGTTGAATTTAGTTATTTGCCACTGCATAATCATTCCGAAAATGTTGTAAATAACAGTTTCAATATCACTGGATTTGTTTTAATATAACACTCGGTAGTTAGAAACGCCGTTTCACAGCCATCAGCTCCACCTGTTTTGAGTTTGAGAATATTTAATGATTACTTTTAAATAAAAAATATTTGTTAATAATTGAATTGCACTCACTTTGTGTACCGCAAGTTGTATGCAACTCTTCTACAATCGGCACGAATTCAGGCGGCAATATTTCCAAGAGATTATCTAAATGCACTATGTTGTCCGCATCGATCTGCGTAAGAGATTTGCAATACAATAAGTAATTTCAGTTTAAATATAATATGTATATATATTTTAACCCTTCCCTTACCAAACCGATTTTATCGAGCACACAATGTATAAAGCATTTCAATCGCTGATTGTTAGGCATTTTTCCAGTTTCCTGCGCCTCTATGAACAAGTCTAGAAAATAAATTGAGGTTCTATTTTAATTTTAATTATATAATTTTTTTTGAAAAGTTCTTATTGTGTGTTTGCTCCTTTTTATTTTTATGTTTTTTCTTCCTTTTTTAATTGTTTTGTTTTGTTTTTCTTTTTTTCTGAATTATCCTTTTGAATTAATTAATTAATTACTTATATATAACTGTATTATCAAAGAATAGAGCTTAAACATACCTTCGGTGACGCCAGTTTCTTTAATACATAAATTTGTTAACTTTTTCGCACCTGAACGCATATGTTTGGGCACCTCTAACTATTTTGAAGCAAAAAATTTTAAAATATTATATTGTTTTTGACAAAATTAACTTCCAATCTCCACTCACACTTTGCACATTCCGCAACAAAACGCACTGATAAATAATTAATAAAATTGCCAACCGTCTGTAGTTCATCTCGTTAGTCGTCTTTACGATTTCAAAACTTTAAAGAAGTGCTTTAAGAGCAAAAATGTATGCTTATATATTGTTAGCATTTCCCAGATAATATCATATGTTTTTTAATATGTATTTATATATATATGTATTTTTTTTTTTAATTTTCCACGGCAAGTGTAGCAGCTTGGACTCCGCCTTCTATAATATGCTACAATGGCACAGCAATTACTTAAAGTTCGAAGTGGGCAGTCCATATTTGCTGCGACAGCACGCTTCAGCTTTATTAATGGCAATTAGTAGCGAGCCTTGCAGTGCCAAAACGAATCGTGTTTTGAGCGAGTTGCTAAGTAAATGTTGTTGCGCCTGGTTCTATCGTGCAACACGAAATGAAGTTACAGAGGTAATATTTTAGTTGAATTTATAAACATTTGCGATATGTTGATTTATATATTTGTATTGTATTTTCCATACATTTTGCAGTTCTCACAAACAACACTACTCAGTGCCTGCCTGCATGTTGTGACTTGGGCCTTACAAAGGGATGAAGTTGTATATTTTCACGAATATATTGTAAAATATTTGCGTGAATTTTTACTTTCCGCATCATTTAACAAATGTTTAAGCCAACTTATGTAAGTTGAAATATATATATGTATATGTATTTTTTTTTAAATGCATACACATTTAACAATAATAATAATAATATATCTTTTTTTTTAAAACTAAACAGCACCTCCTCAGTAATTTTACGCAAGTCAAACGATCGCCGTTACGTGCATACACCCCTACCTAATGTAGGTGCTGTATTGTTACATGAAAATGGTCCACAATTGATTATACCACAAGCTTATAGCGTTTATTTTCTAACCACCCTATGGCGTCTCATGGAGTTGCAAACGTGCCAAAATCGTAACGCAGATAATAAACTACTAGTGGATGCTTTAATGTCGCCGTCAGTAGTGGCGAGTCTTGTGGAGTACCTAACTTTGCTCACAACAAATTTAAATCATTATTTATGTAGTAATTTTTATGCGAAAATTGAAGTAAAATTTGTTTATAAACTTTTGAATTGCGTTGATTTGTTAAAGCATTTCAATTCAGCACAAATACTACAACTTGCCTATAACTACCTCTGCTGTCTCGGTGCGGAGCATATACAGGAGATTGAACAACTTTTCGAATGCATAATATTCAATTCGAAATATCTGAATGTCTCCGATTTGGCTTTAAATAAGTGGAAAGATGTTTTTGTGAGCTTAGTGCAAACGCATTACATAATCGTGGTGAGTATTTTATTACATAATATGAATTTTCTTCATATAACCGCAATGTCTTTTAAAATGAAACTCGAAGATCATTATTTTTTAATATTTCGAATTTTTTTTAATTTGCTGTATACCTTGTTTTTAACACTTTTTTTAATATTTCTCTAGTTTTTATTTTATTTTTATTGTTTCATTTACTATTAAAAAACTAAAAAAAAAAATGGAAAGGAGTAGGAAAATAAAATAAATATATAATTTCTAAATAAAACATTTTCAATATTATTTTTATTAATTATTTAATATATTTATTATTTTTAAGTAACCCAAATATATAGAAGTAAACCAAAAACTAACAAAAACTATAAAATATTCAAAAGTTTAAAATCAGTAAGAAAAATAAAAAGAATAAATATTTAGTATTTTGAAATTAATTAAACATTATTTTCAAAAAATATTTCTTCTTTTATATTATATAGTTCAATAGTTTAATTTTTTAATTATTTTCCACGCCTCATAATAAATATTAAGTAATCCAAATATGTATATAGAAATTAAGCAAAAATTACAAAAACTAAGAAGTAATCACATATTTTGAACCAGTAAGGAATATAAATAATATATACATATGTTTTTTTTTTTAAATATATATCTTAGTATTTTTTTTATTTCCCAATTATTTTTATAGTTTTTTTTTATTTTAAATTTATATTAAGCTTCCTAAAAAATTTTGTATAATCTCAATATATAGAAATAAAGTATAAATAACAAAAACTAAAAAAAGGAATAAAAAATTGATATATTTTCAGTATTTTTTTAATATTCCAATTATTATTAATATTTTTTTAATATTTCTTATATTTTTTAATTCTTAACTTTTTTAAATATCCAAATATATGGAAATAAAATAGAAATAATGACAACTAAACCAATTTTTGAAGCCAAAAAAAATATTTATTTTGAAATATTTTCATTTTTCTTTTATATTTCTTTGAATATCTTATTAAAATTTATTAATTTTTTTCCAAACATTTTTTTCATTTTATATAAACCAATTAATTATATAAGAATTTAAACAATACAAAAACTAAAAAAAAATATTTCAAACCAGTAAGGAATACTAAAATTATGGGATTTTTTTATTTTATTTCGTCCAAATATATATATATAAACAATATATTTCAAACCAGTTGAGATAAATAAATATATACGATATTTTACATTTTTTAAACATATTTTCATTATTTTTTTTATTTTTCCCAATTGTTTTTCAAAATTTTTAAATTTGCTTTGAGCTTGCTACTAAATTTTTCATACGTATTTTCAATATTGGTTTTTGATTTCTAAATTATATACAAATATATATTATTTTTAATTTTTTAATCTAAACTTTTCATTTTACTTAGTTCAAGTATATATAAAAAAATATTACAATCCAGTAAGGACATAAAAATAAATTTTATATAAGCAGCACCATTTTTTCTTTTTTACCACTAGGAATCTTCAAATATAAGTTTGTCAAAGTCTTCGCATACCAACGCTATTTTATCACGTGATTGGCCATATTTTTTCTTCAAGTTAATGCTACAAAACTTCATCGATAATTCCACGCAAAAGACAACGGTTGATTTCACTGGTAAATTCTAGAAAATTCATATTTCCCTATGCGTTCTACTGACAATTAAATTTTAAATCTCTTTCTCTCTACCCTTACAGAGCGTGATGTTCTGGAAATGACTCTCATGCTGGTCACTCAACTGGAGGACTCAAGTTCCAATTTAAACATTGTCACACCTACCGAAGAATTAATGTATGCTATGGCCGCTTTTATGGGTCCAGAAAGTGAGTTTTTGTCAGATGAAATACGTCCGCTGCTGCGTAAGCATTTGCTACGGTTTTATGGTAAATACAAGGACTATACATTTGAGTTCGACAAAGCGGCATTAGGTATGTAATCAAATTTTTTTTTGTTTCTTTTCTTTGCATTTTTCTTTGATTTCACACAATTTTTTTTTAGGAAAATGCACATTCGAAAGTTTGTACTCGCTATTCGTCGATCACTTTCAGGCCACCAGTTATGGCGATGAATTATTTGGCTCCTTAGTATTAGTACCGATGGCACAAAAGTATGATAGTAAATGGCGTCGGCGCATGTGGTCGGATTATGCGCCAGCACTTTGCTACTTAAACTGTGATGAATCACTGGTAAATGATTATACCACCGCAAATCTTTGAATTCCTTTAAACAAGCAATTTCATATCACTTTCAGCTCATTAATGGCATAAGCGCATATTTGGAGCCTGTTGAAGAGGAAGAGTCCTTAATAAAGTCATATGCGCATGCCTTAAGCACGAATGATGTGCGCGTTGGTAGTTTACCTTATAAAATTGCTAAATATCATGTCGAGCATTTTAGAAGGAAATCACAAAAATAAAAGATGCGTTTTTTTATTAACAATAAAATCAATATTTAAATGAAAATTAATTTTAATCAATGCAACAATAAATTCAATTTCATATGACATTCAATTGCATTGCACTTTTTCAAAACTCTTTAATGGTTTTTATGGATACTGAAGGAGAGGTTCAAAGAAAGTAGCAAACATTAGAAAAAAAAAAGAAATGCTCACATAAATTTAAAAATTAAAATGTAAAAAACAAAAATATATAAGCTTTTCATTATTACAGTTAATTCAATTTAAGCTTTACACACAAGTTATATAAATGCATTTTTTTTTTTTTAATTATACATTTTGTTCCCATGGATAGATTTTAGATGCACCCACTGATATGCACGTACCTACGTGTGTATGTATGTTTATATGTATGTAAGATAAATTTAATTATCGTGTTGGCGTGGTAAAGTTTTCTTCACATTTTGTTCAAATGACATATCGTTGCACTGCAATTGACATTAATTAACCCCAAAAGTATAGTTTTAGCTAAATAACACGTATATCGGATCAGCTTATGCATGTATATTTGTATATATGAATATGCATGGGTTAATAAGAAAATTTGTATATGTATTTTAGCACAAAAATACTAAAGCTTCCGTGACTAAAATAATTTGATGGGCTCAGAAGTAACCTAAACTGTTCGTTGTTTCGTCGGTTTTTATTTTTGCTGTTGTTGTTGTGGTAGTGGTAGGTAACCACGCTTAAAAGAAAAAAAGGGTTATACGATCGTCGTCAAAGACATATATCGAAGAGTACGGACCAAATGGGCACACTTCTCCCTAGATGAGTGTGCTGAATTTGTGTATGCCAAGTCCTGACGTAGACTCATTGCATGCAGGACATACGCCCGATCGAGTCTGGATAAGCGAGAGTTAAATTTTCTACGGTATTCAGACCTTAATAGTACCAAAACTACGGAACTCAAGCTCTTTGTCTGCTATGTGTGGTGGTTTGGTGGTTGGGTCCCTATTACATCTTGCACGTAAAGAGAGTTGACAGTCGCTCTGTGAATAGTGCCCAGATACTGTGGGTACTTGAATGGCGCTCGTAAACTCACATACTTCCAGCCTGAAGTGGCACGTTTCACTGCACACAGTTCAGAAGGATGCGTGTAATGGTCCTCAAGGCGGTGTTCTTCTTCTAGGTCTTGCTTTTTATCGATGTCGTCCAAATTGTTGCGGCCTAGTCTATGATCGCTCTGTCCATAGCTTTATAGGTTACCACCGACGTTTTTTTATTTGTTTAATTACCGCTGATGTCGGCTAGCGACTTCTAGTTTATGTTGAGTTTCTGTACTTTGGTGGCAATCACAGTCGTATCAGTTACTTCGGGTTGATAACAGTTGATATTTGGAGTTTGTATGGTGAATAGCTTCGTATGGATTTCGCTTTTTCTAATTGTACATGGACCTGCCTCGATGTCGCTATGTCTGTATTTGGTATATCCGCAAAACTTATATGTCTGTATAATCTGATGCTAGATAACACCAGAAGCGCAGTCGGAATTTGGAAGGAACTCTCCGAGTCGTTCGGCACCAATCCTGTGATTTCTTCAATTTGATTCTGGAGAGAATAATAAGAGTTACAGAGCTGAATGGAGAAGCCACAATCTTTTACAAGAGTGTACAACTGCTGGCGTTGATATTGACATTATCGACCTTAACAACCACGTCGTTAGTTTTGCTTTCTCCAGGCTTAATAAGTAATAGGGCCGGTAGTGAACGAGGACAAGACGAAATTTCTTCCGTCCTCACGCAAACAGTCATCGCATTCGCGACTTGGCTCCCACGACAATGTTGACATTCATAATTTTGAAGTCGTAGAAAATTTCGTCTATCTAGGAAACAGCATCAACACCAATAATTGCCTTGAAATGCAACGCAGAATCACACTTGCCAACAAGTGCTACTTTGGACTGTGTAGGCAATTGAAAAGTAAAGTCTTCTCTCTACAAACGAAAACCAAACTGCATCGTTCGCGTCCTGCTATATGGTGCGGAGGCATGGACAATGGCAACATCTGATGAGTCGGTCGTGGGAGAGTTGGATTTATGGTCCCTTACGCATTGTCAACGGTGAATACCTTCCGAATGGCAGTATCCAATTCTAACCACTCGGCTAACGACGACTTTTTGCTTGGAGCCAAATAAGCATACCTTACTCCAAACACGCAATGTGGTAAATGATAACAGCCGCAGAACTGGTGCCTTTGTACCTTATTTTTCTTCATTCATGGAGCTAATGGATTGGAGCATCGAAGTTGTAACGCTTCTCACAATATTCACCTTCGCTTTTAGTGGCTTCAGTGAATGAACTAAAACTTGCAAACATGGTCTCCAGTACTTCGTTGGCCTACATTCTATGCTCTTTCTCTTCTTCTTCTTTACTGGCATAGGTACCGCTTACACAATTATAGCCAAATTTATTATAGCGCACCATTCAACCATTTTTTGCGCTGATTGGTGCCAGATGGAAATACCAAGCGAGGCCAGGTAACTCTCTACCTGACTCTTCCAATGGAGTGGAGGTCTTCATCTTCCTCTGCTTCAACCGGATGCAGTAACCATGGTACACTTTCAAAACTGGTACGCTTTCATTCATAATTTTGTTGTTGCAGCCGTAAAAATATTCACCAAATTATCTGGCTTACTATAAAAATCTGGATATAAATACTCGACTGTCGCGGGAACCTTTGAATTTTAGTCATCTCTTACAACAAACTTGGCTTACCGCCAGTAACTTCTTGAACCTCTACCCTCCTAACATCGACATATCCGCTGTTGTCATCGTCCATGCCGTCACACCATTAAGTAGGACGGGAAAAATGAGGGACTTGTAGAGTTCGGGTTTTCGTTCGTCGAGAGAGGACTTTACTTTTCAGTTGCCGAGTCGGTCCAAAGTAGGACCTGTTGGTAAGAGTGATTTGGTATGGGATTTCAAGGCTGACATTATTATTATATTCATTCAAAATGAACTAGCTTGCGCTGGTTTCAATATATTTCAATCCCCTACTGGGCATCTTAAAAGAACAAGCAAATACAATAAAATAAAATAAAACAAATAGAAATAGAAATAAAGGTCTTTAAGTACTTACATTACAAACGTGACACATGCAAATGCCCTGAGCTGAGTCAGTGTACATGTACACGATCGCAACTAAGCGTTTAGCCATAAGTACTCACATGTAAGAGAAAACGAATTCTTCTTGCTCAAGTTACAACATTTCTGAATTCAGTTCTCTACTTTTTTAATGAGACACACAAGTTCACGTGCCATAGCTGCCCAGTAGGAATTAATGACTGCAACATTTTATTTCTCTTGTCTAACGTTTAAAAATTATTTCTATTAGTCATTTGAATGTTTTTCAAATGTAAATTTGTTTGCATGAAAGTACATGCTCGTATGCACACAGAGGCAAATGGGCGTTGGTAACAAAAGTTAACAACGACGGAGTAGTAACCTCACTGAATCGAGCCGCTTCTGTGAAAACTTAATGGATTTATTTGGAATGCATATATGTACGTACACCCAATGCACATTTGTAACATATCTACATACATACATATATATACAAAGGTAATGTGATTCATTTTCATTAAACATTCAATACTCGTTTACCTTTCTTTTTTTTCATCGGTTTAACACCTGAAAAATCTCATTCACTTTTCCGGTCCATTGAAATGTAAATTTAAACTATTCGCTGTATGCAAGCAAGTAGGTCCGGAAATCTACTGTAGCTAAGCTGAAGAACTTTGGAAAATCATTGGCATGGAATGATTTGTAAGAATGATATTACGAGGCGTATCCAGAAAGTAAGTTGTGCCGAGGATCTCACAGACGAAGGGATTTTAGATTCGTCATGTAGGAAATCATTAGTTTAGCCAGACCTCTTCCCTTTTCAACGAGAGCTGACGATATGACAACACGTTTCGTGAATATCATTATCTCATTTATTGTAGAAGGGAAATTCTCCGTTTGAGATTTTCAATCAGGTGGAAACTGTACGGGGTGAGGTGAAAAGTACATTCCTTGGGAATGCAAAAATTTTTTTTTTAAACTGTATTTTTATTTTATTCAATGTAATACGACAGAAGCGGTAGTGGAGTGGTTAGTATTGCTTACTGCCATTCGGAAGGCTCGGGTTCAAATCCTGATGTCGTAAATACATCCAAAAACCTATAGAAAATTAATTAAAATAAAAAAAACTAAGCTAAATTTTCTAATGCAGTCGCCCCTCGGCAGGGAATGTTAGCTCCTTTTATATGAAAAAAAGTTCCTCATAAAAAAAAACTTACAGCAGTTCGAAGGCGGTTTAGCATAAACTGTAGGTACATTCAGTTGGAAAAACATCAAGACGCAAAACCACAAACTGGAAGAGGCGCTCGGATGCTCGATACACTTATACCAGCGATTTTCCAACTTCTTGATCCCGTCCGAAAAGTAATTTTCCCGAAAGTCTACTCCTCCACGGCGTCGATGATTTCCTTGTATGAGATGCGGAAGCAATTGGGGCCCTAAGTCATTCACTTTAGCCATGGATTCAATGCTTTTTGTCCATACGTCACTGAATCACGTCAACAACAATCGGCTGTCAAAACAAATCTAAGTACAGTATCGCACGGAAATTCGGCATGTTTGCCTAAATGTGAATGGATCCCAAGGCACTGTAACCTTTCTTACAGTAGCAGCGCATTCTACCGTCGGTCAGTTTTTTAAAATGTATAAAAAATCAGTATTCACTTTCTAGACATTCCTCGTAGGAGAACTGATGCAACAAGAGTCGAAACTTCATAATGAATAGAAAAAAAAAATTGTAGATGAAACAAATTTTGAATCTTCTCCGTTTATCGGTTCGCAAGAAGAGCAACTACGAGTTATTCACTACAACTTGGATAACTAATATGTTATTACTTTCCTTGCTCTTTTGCCGCAAGGCTGGCTGTAGCAAATTGTTTATGGGACAACCGCTAGAAGTAACAGACTTTCATAGGGTTGATACAAGCCAACTTTTCCGAGTAGTGTTAGAGAGTACATTTTACACACTTTTTTTGAGGTTATTTCAAAATCTTTACCACGAGTGCCTCACATGATTGGCATCCTATAATGATACTTTTCATGATTTTGAAGGTTAGCTGAATCCATGAGGATGGTTTTTAATGACATGTA